ATCGGGATCGGGATGTCTTTAAAAAAATTAAGGAGAAAATACCAATGCTAATTCAAGAACTTTTGCCCTTCATCAAATACTTAAGACTTGCATTGTGAAATTTTGCTCTTGGTTTTAGTAATGATGAGGCTGGCCTCAAGATACTTTCATCAAACTCTCGACCCATCAGCAAGATATACTCGTGTGTAAAAGGAAGGGCAGATTCACACAAAGGCGATGATATCCAAAAAACTTTGTAATCTATGTTAGATCCCCTGTGGTTTTTTGCATGTTTTTGTGTTCCCACTTAACGCGAAGAGCGCCTATGGAGTCCAACAAAGGAGCATTTATATACTTTTATCTTGATATACCTTAGTTGTTCATTTCTTTACTACTTTCACTATTTTGCTTGAATGCTTGATAGTCTTATCAGTTTCAAAGCATGGTATGACTTTTCCTTTTTGGCTAGGTCATGGTGTTTCTCTCTTGGTTTGTTAATTTTTTTAACAAAATTTTATTTATGAAAGAGTGCCCATAAATTTTTGCAATGACGGATCAAAGCCAATTGATATGCCGAAAGAAAATTTATTATCTAATGACAGTTTGAATTTCATGGAGTCTTTGAAACGAGGAAATTATGAATTGAGTGCCACCTAATAAATGAATATTGATAGAAGTGTTAAGGAAAAATTCTCAAATGTTAGGCTAGAAGGGTGAGCAATGGGCTGGCGACCGGGCCAAATGCTGGCCAATATATGTAGCCTATGGGGCCAAGCTGGGCATTGCATGGGCCGACCTGGCCTGAGCGATTCATAGCCGAGCCCTGCACATACAACAGAAGGCCCGAGCTAGCCTAGGCCAGGCCAAGGCTAGCTAGAAGGGCTAGGCTGGCCCAGTCCATTGCTAGGCCTAGTGGTTACCTCCACTAAAAGATTTCCCTTTGCCTATTTGTTGGTGTCCTTCAAAGAAAGTAAATATGGGATCTTTAAAGACACCAGTAGTAAGGAGTAACCTCAAGGATCATATTTGGGCTTCTTTGATCCTTTGGGCCCTAAGCTTACAAAGTTATTCATCTGCTTAGCTAAAAATCTGGTTCATGAATGAAAATTGAGTAAAACACATGGTATGTGAAGGGAAGTGCTGTTAGATTATTGGTGCTTCTTGGGCCCAAACCTAGGGCCTACTTGGCAAACCACAACTTTAACTGGTGTTCTTTGTGGAATCCAAGTTTTTTCTTTATGGAAAGCTCTTACAGAGAGTACAATTTGTCAAAAATGTTTTTGTCAAATGTAGATAATATTATCATATCAAAGTGGTAAGACATTCTCCTTTTACAAATAGATGCACGTCCATAAGAGCTCCTCAACATGTTGGTAGAGTTTTCACATTCGAAAGAAAAACATGATGATAGGCTTGAGGAGATGTGGAATACTTTCTATTTTGTGATTCCTCATTTTATTAGTTGCTTGTAGATGGTCCATTTTTGTCTTTTTTTGGTTTTTAGGACACGGTTTTTAAGGGTACATGTAGAAATGAGCCACGTCTTAAAAATCATGAGTCACGTCTTAAAAATCTACTTTGAAATGGATTTCAGGACCTAAATTTTGAGGGCATATAATCACTAACATGGAGATCATGAACATGAATAAATAAATAAATTTTGAAAAATAAAAATAATAATTTTATTATTAAAACAATTGGACCGTTAATTTCAATTTTTTTTAGATGGACCACGTATTTGCATCTATCTTTAAGATGGATGCTTTATACCTCGAGGACCGCAAATATAGAAATACGGTCCCCACCGCATGAAACAATTTAAACAATTTCCCTTTTTTTAAGTAAAATTGTTTCATGCGTTACATTTGCGGTCATTGAGGTATAAAGCATCCATCTTAAATGCAAATAGGTGGTCCATCTAAAAGTAATTGAAACTAACAGTCCAAATATTTTATTGATATAATTATTATTTTTAATTTTCAAAATTTATATTATTTTTTCATATTCATGATCTCCACGTTAAATATTACATATCCTTAAAAATTAGGTCTGAAAATCCATCTTAAAAATAGATTTTTAAGAGATGACTCATTTGGACTCATAGAAACAATGTTATTTTTTTAAAGTGGAGCCCTAAAGTGGTATTTTTTTTAAGTTTTATTAGGTTGGCGTAGGAATGGGCTCAAAGCTAGCTGGTCATGCTCGTAGGACTCTACAACTGACGTCTTAAGTTCCATTCCGACCACGGGTATTATTCATAATGTATTCTTCTCACATAGGAACTGATCAATTACTTATTTGTCAATAAAGTCTTCAATACTTAGTGTTACTATTACATTTCAAAAACATGATATCTCTAGTCCATTGTACATAAATCTTTCAACATGGTAGAAGTCAATAGATATTTCCACTAATAAAGGTGCTTCATGTGGAGGTTAATGCACCTCCGAATAAAACAACATGTCTCCCTTTGTCCATTACTTTAAAGCAAGTAAACAAAGTACTCTACGCTGTCTGTTGATTGTCAATTTGTTGCTTATCAAAGAAGGGAATCTTCTAAACAAATGTTGAGTTACTCAACTCCATTATTCGATAAAAAAAAGAAGTATTATTATTGGCAACCATTTAAGTAACATTTAGCAATAAATAACCCATTTCCATGGTTTACTCAACAGCCATAAGCTTACCAAAGTATCAATGAGGCAACAAAAAGCAATAACAGTTATATAGTATAAGCATAGTACAAGGTAAATACTGGATAACGAACAAAAATATAAATACATTAGATTATCTTAATCTTAGATAAGATAGTATGCTCCAGATAAAATTGATTGTCATCCACAACTGCCCTTGTAGTATTAAATAATATTTGAGTTTCATAACTAAGTTCAAGCATGCAGTATCATGTGATTGGTTACAAATATTTATGGGAATTTTCTTTTTCTTTTTTCTTTTTTAAGGTTCTTGTTCACTAGACTGAAAATGGAAACAAATGATGAAGTATGAAAGTACAATGGTTTGGTGAAATTTGTTCAGGAGTGAATGTATACCTCCTTTCCAATTCAAACCAACCCATCCCAAAGGAGCAACCTTTGCTAAAACAAGAAGTCAATAACCATTTCTTTTGTAATGGAATCACAAGAAATATGTCCTAACTCCATTAAGATGCAATGCATTTCAAGCATTTCAATTTAGAGACCAATTTAATAACCATTTCTTTTGTAATGGAATAACAAGAAATGTGTCCTAACTCCATTAAGATGCCATGCATTTCAAGCATTTCAATTTAGAGACAATTATCTCTCTCTCTCTCTCTCTCTCTCTCTCTCTCTCTCTCTAAGAAGGTGAGACAGTCTTCAACAACACTAAATAATCCTTAGGGGAAATTGCAGCACAGTTGTTATGCACCAAACTTATATATATTCTCAGGAAGACAAAATTTGTATTCTAAGGGTCCTATATTTGTCACCTAACATCACCATTTCAAGCCTGATTATGCCCCAAAACCAACACAAACCAATTATTCATCTCTCTCTCGCTCATGTCTTCATGCTTCCGGCAGCGTGAAGACATGCGGGTTGTGGTTCCAACCATTTTAAAGAGATAACTACCGCCGGTATACTGAATATGCCGGGTTCCCACGTTAAAAACGTGAGAAAAAATCGGATAAATTGAACTAAATATTATGACTTAGCTTAAAACGTAAATAATTAAACTAAATATTGATAATATTATTTACCAAGAGAAAGTATGGATAACTCATCTAAATAGAGGTCTGTATCTTTAATTTTAATTTAACATTAGCAGTTTCTTTTAGATATCCTGTGAACTGGACAATCAATTTTTCCAAAAATGATGAATTCTAAAAGCATTATAATAAAACTATTATACTCGAGTAAAATACCTTCATATTCTCGGCAGTTCGCCTAGCCTCGGCAGGGGAACTTGCCCCATGGCCGAGACGAGTTACCTGGCCGAGCTGTTAGGGCTGAAAAGCCCTAAATAACTTGTAAAAAAATGTGCAGAAAAATTCAAAAAAAGTAAAAATAAACTAAAAGAAATATATATATATATATATATAGATAAAGGTAAAACAAAATAAAAAATAAATCTTTGGGATTCCAAATAAACTTAAAAAGTACTCCACGATTTAGAAAAAAACAGATTTATAGCTGGGGCATTCTTAAAAAATTAAAAAAAAATGGGAAAAATATAAAACAATGATTTACGGAAGAATCACTCACCAAAATGCATCTAAATCATTTAAGGTATAATTGTGTAATATAACCTGATTTTTACCGATTTTTATTTTTTAAAATTTGTTTTGTAATATCCCAAATTGTCACACAACTCGGGATTGATCGGCCTAGGCCAATAGGGTGAAGCCGAGTTGACTCGGTCTGAGTCCTGGTACACTGATAATACCACGATAAAATACCGTGCCTAAGAGCCAGATAGCATATTTTCTTTTCCTAGGAAGCATGCAGAATGAGATATGCTTTAAGTTAATTTAACATTTTTATGCATCAATTGATATTTGGTAAATGGAAAAAAATAAACATTGTTATGCTTTGTGTTTGAGAGATGATTTCATCTTCCTTTTAAACATGAGGCGCTCCCACAATTGCACACCATCTTTATTTTTTGGAAAATCATTAAGATCAACTCATCCCATGGAGCTTATTATTTTTCCATAAAAAAGAAGAAGTGAAATGTGTGAAGATTAATATCTTTTTAGGTAAATTCTTCTTGTCAACATTCAGACAACTGATAAATATGCATCAGCAGATCCGTTTTGTTTGTGTTTCCAGAGAGAGAGATTAATATGTACTAGTGTTTGGTGCATCAGCTTTTCTAGTTTTTCAATATTTTCTGATCATCTAGTACTAATTTTCAGAAACCGTATTTGCAAATAAATGTCTCAAGAAGCGAGCGAGAGAGAGAGATGGAGTGACATCTAATACTTGCAGTGTAATCTTAAGCATTAAGAGTGAGTGAGAGAGAGAGAGAGGGTGGCACACCAGTAAGAGCGTGGAGGGACTGCTCGATCTCTCGACAGGCGGTGACGGCTTCGACGGCGTGGATGCGTACATGCTGCTGGAGCTGCTCCTTGAAGGAACTCAGTACCAGCACGTACTGAGCCTGCACAAGAGCGAGACATCAACTAGGCGAACAACCAGAAGGAAATGGAGAGAGAGAGAGAGAGAGAGAGAGAGAGA